AGTGGAGAAACCATGGTATTTTATAAACATCTAGCTTCTAAAATGGGAAGCCTTTGATAAAATTGATCATGGTATATACATACATGTACATGCATACATAAAATGTTATAATGGTCTTTGGTCAGCATTCAAAGAAAAAGGAAGAAATTGTTAGAAGAAATTCATGAAGAGAATTATCGCAGTACAATAATACAATAAACAATATCTAAATCAGAGCTTTGTGGCATGACAAAGATATTTTGCTATCTGAAATGTGAGGGATTAACATCCCTTAGAAGATAAGGTACATAATATTTACCTGAATGGCCCTCAAATTTGGGAATAATTGGAGATAGCAAAAAAAAATTCTTGGAATGTTGTAATTATAATAGTGTAAAAAGACACATATTTCTCCCTCTATCTCCCTAAAGCTGCAAAGGCTCTAAGGTCTCTGCAGATTTAAAAAAAAATTAAAATCTATTCCACTATGAGTGCAAAAGGAAAAAGCATTAAAACAGGGTGCAGGCCCATCTATATTTACTCAGAATTCAATTGTGTAAATATTTTGCAATAGATGGTTTATGATAGTCTACTATTTGGCAATAAACGTCATTAGCATTGGTGTTCTGATGTTTGATATTGCCAATTTGTTCCTTAACTGTTCGTTTGATTTACACAAATATATGTGACTGAATGTATCTATTCAGGAGAAAAGCCAACGCTACAGAATGTAAGTTTGATATCAGTGAGACTGGTAGCTGTCCATCAACAGCAATGGTAATAAGTCTGTCTGTAGAATTAATCATAATTCTGAGCCATAAGATTAGAATCCTAATCCAGGCGTTGACTTTAACACTTGGAACATCAGCTTCAAGCCTCAGGATACATTAGAGACCCATCAGGTTGCTTCATACCTATAGTATATAAAACAAAGGGAGGAGAATGGCATCATCTGCATAAAATAAGATTGGAAGATGTCCATCAGCTAATTTGAGCCTATTAATGCCAACTCTTTGAAGAGTTTTAATTAGGAAGTTAATTGGATAGCTAAAAAAAAAATAGTAAGAGTACAATGAATTCTTGCTTTACCCTCTCAGAGGCCTGAATACAATCAGAAAGATCCTTTGCCAAGTCACATCTTACCCTAAGGCCATTTTTTTCTATAGGTGATAAATTAATAATAAGATTAATCTATCTATAGATAACCTAAACCAGTCCAGATGTCATTATTAACTGGACATTATCAACTGTACTTTGAAATCAATAAAAGCTGCATATAAAGTCAGATCATGGTGATCTTGATATTTTTCCACCAAATGTAACTCTAGGCAGTGATCTCTGGAGGGCTGTCCTGTTGGAACCTCATTTGCTCAATATCAATTATTCCCCCATTTACCATCCTGGTATGAAATTTAATCTAATAGATAAAACCAGGTATACTGTTTGCTGATGATGTTCAAAAGGCTAATTGACCCATAGTTGGCTGGGTCATCCCTGCCACTCTTTTAAAATAGGAAAGCACTTATTGCTACTCCCTGCCCCTCAGTTATTTGAAATCCTAGCTATAGGATTAATATATGAGAAGATGGAGGCCAGCACTGGACCCCACCAGTTAGAGTTTTGGACTTGATTAACTTGGCTGGAATGCAGTCACTGGGGGGGGGGGGCTTTATTTCACTTAAGTGGGTTAATAATCCTTTTTAACCCCTGGCCTATGACTGGAGCCACTGAGGCAATGAGGATAAAGACACATGCATCACATAGTCCTCCTTACCAAAGTTTGACTCCTGCCTATAAGAGCACAATGTACATCAAATATTTTATTATCTTGAGATTGGTCTAAATAGGACCCAAACAAATAAAGAATCAGAGTACATATAGTCCTTGACTTACACCCTTTCATTTGGTAACCATTCGAATTTACAACAGCACTGGAAAAACTGACTTATGACCTTTTTTTCACACTTACGACTGTGGCAGCAGCCCCATGGTCACATGATCATAATTTAAACTGGCATGTATTGATGATGGTTGCAGTGTGTCAGGCTCATGTGATCCCCTTTTACAACCTTCCGATAAGCAACGTCAATGGGAAAGCCAGATTCACTTAACAACCGTGTTACTAACTTAATAAATGCAATATTCACTTAACAGTTGTGGCAAGAAAGGTCATAAAATGGAGCAAAACTCACTTAACTCTTGCTTAGTTATGGAAACTTTGGGCTCAGTTGTAGTTGTAAATTGAGGACTATTTGTATCCCTTTTCTTCCTCTGAAATTGTTGGGATATCCTATCTTCAAGAATCAAGAGAGTCATTCCATCTGCCTGTGTAGAAACCTACCCACCACTTGGCAGTTTAAACAAGCTTTAATTTGATTCCTGATTGGGCCCTGGATAAATTTATAAGTGAAAGTTAAAAGGAGGTGATTATCTTCAGACCTGGGAACTATGCCAAATACTTAAGGCATGGAGCCAATCTCTAGAAATTATTAAATGTTCCACAATATATCATCTATGATCTGACCAAAATGTGCACCGCCCAGGAAAGTCACTTGTAATGGAATCATTTAGCATTTGTAAGTTAAACCTATTTAAAATATGTACCAGCTTTAACCCAGCTAAACTCCATTTTGTATCCTTGAAGGATCCGGATATAAATCGTGGTTCAATAATTTATTCAGGAGGACAAGCATTAAAGTGCATTATATAGATTTTCAACATTGCAACCAATTTATGGATTAAAATCCCCATTAATTAAGATATATTAACAAGGGAATTTATTCAGGCAAAGAGCAAGAAAAAACTGAGGCAGTTTTCAAGTTTGGTTGATTTGGGAGGGAAGAGGATTAAAAACTGGTGCACAGTCAGCAGAATTGGTCAAAAATTAACAAGGCAGATATGGTATTCTCGAACTGGCCATTTCACAGTTTCAACCACAATTTTGAAGCTAAATAGACCAAGTCTTCCTTTTGACCTGCCACCTCTGAGGATAGCCTTGCAGAGAAAAAATATTTGGGGATTGAGAGCCTGAAAGAGAAAAATATTTGGGGATTGAAAATTCCCTTAGGATCCATGTCCAGAAAATTGTATCAAATTGGAACAAAAATCCCAGGAAATATGAACCTGCTTGCTTTGAAGTTCAACCAGCAATGTTTCATGACAGCGTGGTAAGATTATTGGTAAAGAGTAACTGTCAATTTACTAAATCCCTCTGGGTACTCTTTTCCACTGACTGCACAGGAGAAACAACACGTGGGTTAGAAAAAAGAACAGTCAAAGAAGAATGCCATGTCCCATGTTGTTGAATAGCATCTTGTATTTAAGATTATTCAAAATCAAGGTATATTTTGAGGAAGGAGCAAAGATCAAACTGAGGATGAGGATCGGAGAGTTATCGTTATCTATGCTCAGAACTTCTTTGGAAAAATTTAGGTTGCAAAGAAGAGTGGCAAGATAAAGATGGAACAACCACTGAGTGAATAGTCAGGTCCATTCAAGGAGGAGCTAGTGAAGACAGACCACATCCAGTAAGTGTTGGATGGGGTGGCGTCCAGTCCTTTGCTTTGAGGAGTGCCACAAGTCTCAACTCTCTCCCTGCTACATAATATCCATATCAAACGACTGATTGGAGTTATCAGTAGCTGAGGATATTGAGTTACACATCCCTGCCCCATGCTGTCCAAGTGATGTCACAGAGATTCTTCCTCAGTACCTGGAGGTATGAAAGTCTAGAAAGGGAAGAACAGGCTTTAACTTACCAAATGCCTGTGGGTTTTAGGACTTCTCACATCTAGACATTTTCTGTTGTTAACTCTGGATGGGATAACACTCCCAACCACAGCGTTAGAACACAATCCAGAGATCCTCTTGGACTCACAGCTCCTCCTTGAGGAGCAGATGGGAATTGTGACCAGGACAGCCTTTGACCAAATCCATCTTGATACCAATTGCATCCATTCCTAGATTAGGAATCACTGCTCAAAGTCATTCACACCCTACTGATTTTCCACCTGCACAATTACAATGTACTCCATTTGAGACTACCCTTGAAGAACATTCAGAAGCTGATCCAAAATGCAGCAGCAGCATGTATAATTCTAAGTGCACCACATCATGCCCATATAACTATGTGACCTGCACTGAATCCCAGTTGGTTTTCAGGTGCAATTCAAGATGCTGATTGTCACCTATAAAGTGGGAGCCAGGTTACTTGTGGGACTATTTTTCCTCAGTGGTGTATTTACATTCCTACCAGATCCAGAAGATTGAAATGCTCTGTGCCTTCTTGGTTAAGGGTATCACTTGATAAGATCTAGGAAGTGTGCCTTCTCTGTCATGGTGCCTACCTTATGAAAAGCTACTCTCTGGGACTTGGATAACTCTGTTGACCTTCTGGAAGACTTTGAAGACCTGGTTTTTTCTCCAGGTACTGGAGCTGGCATGTTAGTAGAGTCTGGAATATGCATGTTTATTTAAGGGTCCTTGACTAGATGCTTATTTAAAAAACTGGCTCTCTTAATAAGGATAATGCAAACCATGTTCTTGTTTAAAAATGGCAACATTTAAAACTTTTCACCAATCAAAACCACTATGCTTCTTTTGTTCAGATATTTAAAGATGTGCGCTGTTTATAAAAATTCTAAAATTGGTAGCTAGTGATCTATATTAGACAAATTTTATAAGTAAGATCTTGAAATTGATTCAGCTATATTATGAGTACGTGAAATAACTTCCATGTTATTTTTATATACTTAATAAAAAATTAAAAGAACTACAGGAAATGCATACGTGCTTTTGTGTCTTTTAATTTGAGCATTTTGTTAAAAGGGAGAATTGATTTGAATGAGAAGTAGGAGGAATAATGTATTTTTTTTCTTTTTCCAAAAATAATGTTGAACTTTTTAAAAAAAAAAACAACACGAATAAAGACAATACAAATTAAACCCAGGAAGTAAAAGTAAAACACAGAAAGAGAGAATAGAAAGTTCAAGGAAGAGTATTTTTAAAAAAACAAGGAATACCAAAAAGTCTGGGAATCCCTGATCTAGGTTGTACCGTATCCCTGGAAAAGAAGAGGAGTTTGCGGCAGCTGTCCCTGATTGGGCAGGACTACAACTCCCATCATCCAAGCTACACGAAGGCCACCCCAACCTCCTTTCTCTTTCTCCGGCGGCGGCAGCAGGAGGGGGGGGAAAACCCCTCGCAGACCTACCAGGAAGTCGTCAGGCGTGCGCGCGCGTGCGCAAAGCCACCGGAAACCCCGCAAGAGTGTGTACCGGGTTCCGACATTTCCGCTTCCAGGGCGGCGGTGACGACGGTAGCGGTAGGAATAGCAGCAGGAGCAGCGGCAGCGGTAGCGGAGGCGTTTTGCTTTGGTCTCCCCGAGAGAGGGGGAGCCGGCACGCCGGGAGTTTGAACTCAGGTGCGGGGCTGGCCTGCACGCGCGCAAGCGCGGCCGTCCCTTGGGAGAGGAGCGCGCGCACGCCTTAGTGCTGGCGGGGCTCGGCCGCCGCGCGCTGATTGTCCAGCCCGGGCGGGGAGACCGGGAAGGGAGGGGGGAGGCGTCGCGAGGCGGTGCATGCTCGTCCACGCGCTTTTCGGGCTCATTCTTTGCTCGCTCTCCCGGGCTTTACGCCGTGCAAATCGTCCGCGTCACCTGTTCGGCTGCCTATTTGCAGGGACCGCGAGGGCTTGTCTCTTGCAAGACAGGTGTACGATCGGAGATGGAGCAATGAGTCAGGTCTCTGATTCTTCCCACGGATTCCCTCTAACCTTCTTCTGGCTGCGCTGAATTAAGGAGTATCGGTTTAAATTCTGCTGCCAAGCACCGGGCTTCTTTGCAGCGCGAATTGCAACTTTCTGCAAGGTTTCATGTTGATCTTTCTGGAGCAAAAGGCTCGTAAATTGTGAAGTAGCTGTTACACATGCATCATGTTACTTCAAGTTGACCATGTCCTTAAAAGAGATTCTGAACCGTGAAATTGTTCATGGACATAACGGTAAAGAATTGGTTAGGATAAATAAACATTAGTCATTTTCACAGTTCTGTAGGATCCTCTCTGAGGAGATAACTTCGCATTAAAATATTTTTGGTGTGGGGAAAATGTTGACATGGATCCTTTTGTTCCTAAATACCAAACCTCAGTTTTGTGCGAACACTCGAGTCCATGCTGTGCGGTATATATCTAAAGGGTCAAGGATTCTTAATATTCCGATCTATTGAAAAATGAAGGAAAGGTTTTAAATAGGAAATAAGAATTTGTTTTGTGTCATATGTTTAATGTAGTTAAGCCAGAGGTCCTTGCGGTTGTATTTTTAAGCAATATGCTGTATTGCAATTATTGATATGGAAAGTTATATGGGCTTTTTCATACCCAACCCTCAACTTTTATTGCAGGTAGTCCTCAGCTAATGACCACAATTGAGCCCAAAATTTTACATTGCTATGTGAGACATTTGTTAAGCAAGTTTGCCCCATTTTATGACCTTGCTGCAGTTGTTAAGTGAATCATTGCCATTTAGTTAGTAACACGGTTGTGCTTCCCCATTGACTTTGCTTGTCAGAAGGTCTCAAAAGCTGTTCACACGACTCCGGGACACTGCAACTGTCAGAAATATGAATGAGTTGCCAAGCATCAAAATTTTGATCACATGACCCATGGGGATGTTGGCAATGGTCATAAATGTGAACAACAGTCATGCCACTTTTTTCAGTGCTGTTGTAACTTTGAATAGTCACTAAATAAACTGTTGTAAGTCGAGGACTACCTGTACTAATTTTCTTCATCTTTCTGCAGTTTTGGTTTTCTTCTCAGTGCCAGTTTACTCTTTTGTGCATTGTAACATATTTGGTTTCTTCGATGCAGCGCTATAAATTAATTAGTATTTCCTAACTCTAGTGCCTTTCACATGAATAAACTTCAGCTCCCAGAATTCCCAACTCAAAATGTTTTTTTCTGAAAATTTTTGGAAATTTTCATAATTGGTGAACACGATGTTATTGGTGCATAGGTATTGTAATGCTTACTTACACAGTCACATTGGTTTTGCTAAAAGGCATTATGTATTTCATTCTGTCAGTAATGTTAGATTTAAGGCTGGGTTGTGTAGAGTTAAAAACATTGGTTTTGAGTTTTAAACATTTTTTTTACTGAACTATAGTAATGAAGAGACTAGAATGTTCATATTAAATACCATAAATATTACATTAATAATTAAACCGAATGCTTATGTTTGGAGACTAGGTTAACTTTGTAAAGTTTTGTTCTCTATCTGAGCTACTTTGAGTATGTTAATGTCAGAATCAGATTCACATATACACTGCATATTACCTTCATTGCATGAGTATGACCAGTTGTTTAACTGCAGTACAGTATATCTGTTGTCTTGCTTAGATGGACTTTACAAAACATTGTGACTTTCTACATGATCGTTATATTTCTTACTGAAGGATTTTTTTAAAAAGAAAATAAGCAGATAGAAAATTTGTATGTTAATGTTGCATTATGATATTTTAATACAGAAAGATACAGATTGCCTGGATGATGTACTCAATCAGCAGTTCAGAATTTAGTGCAAGAGCTTGCAGAAATAATATATTTTACAGTTACTGTAGAGATGGGAACTTAGTAATAAGCAGAATACTTTAGTAGACTAGCGATACCAATACCTTTTGCTATTGCAGTAAAGCTGTCTGGTGTGTAATTATAATTTAAAAAAAATACTGATCTCACTTTTTCTTTTTAAAGATATATATATATTTCCCTTAACCCACAGGTGGAAGCTGGAGGTGGACGTACAGCAATATTGTGCTTCTTTGCAAAGAAGACCTCAACATCCTTTCCCCAGCAAGGGCCATCCTGAAGGGGGATTTAGATTTGGGGTGACTCATCTGCAAGAGCAGCACAGTCTGTAATTTTTCTCAGCTTTTAACAAGGCTGGGAAAACTTGCTGCACGCCATTCTGGACTCTCCGACTCCAGAAAGATGTCAACAAAGTGGAAGGTATTGGACGGGACCGGCGCAGAAACGATTTACTGAAAAATCTTTGTAGTCGTAAAATTCTTTCCTGGGCAAGAGAGAGAAAGCGTAAGGACTTGGCGTAATCTCCGTATTGAGGACTGTCAGACTAACGCGATGGCTCAGGTAACAGGCCCCGGTTCTCCCATCCTGTCCCACAGGAATCCATCATTCAGGAAGTGGCTGCAAAGAGCCATCTGTGATAATCCATTCTGTGTAACATAAACTGTTCAGCTCTTGATGGTCTGCTGCAGGAGTCAGTACTGTAAAGCTTGGAATGCTTGGACCCTCCTGGTCAAAGTTCTGGGGGTTATTACCAAGCTGTTCTGGCCCTCTTCTCACAGCCATGTTTGGAGAATGTGTTTGCTTTCTCTTACAGCCAGTTCCAGTTCAAGCTGGAAATGTCGTCGTATTTTTCTTGTCTTTCACTTCAAGCCTAGGGGCTTACATGTATGTTGGAGAAGGGGCTGATGGGAGAGGGAAGAAGAATGTCAAGGCACTTCTACTGCCCCAACCCCATTTTCCAGCTTCACGTTTCATCAGCAATATTCGACTGTAGTATCAAAGTTTCTAGGTAGTACTATTTTTTTCACAGTAGGGTTTGCAAAAAACAATATGGGACAAAGTAAATGTGTAAAACCTACATACAACTTTATACATATTTTTGTCTCTTTATCATCTTCAGACTACCCCAACAAGCCATCCCAGAAATTCAGCTTTGCTACCCAAATTGTGTCATTTGCCATATCCTTTGCAACCCACTGAGGGGGGGGGGAGAAAAAGTACACCCCAGCCATAGGAAAGTTGACTCTTTGTTTTATCCAATACATCAAACTGCATCTTTGATTGATCTTATAGCATTGAGTCTAATCCAGCGTTTACTGCTACAGTATATTTCTTTTTACATATATTTTATTTCCTGTTCTCCTTACTTCCTCAGTCCAATTATCAATATGTCTTGGGATCTTACAGTCTTGGGAAAATGTTCTTCTGCCCTAGTTTTCCATTAGTAGCTATTGCTGCTCCTGCATTATTAGCCTTTCAAGCTACTTTTCAAAAATCACAGTGTCATTCCAGAGCTCATTGCCCCATCAGGATGCCAGATACACTGTGGGGAAATTAAAATGGCAGCTCCAGTAGTAGCACTTATAGGCTCTACCTGATGGGCTTCTTTCCCAGAACCTGGCTGAGTTTTGCCACTGTTGACAATGCTTCTTTTTCTTCAGCAAGAAAAGATGCAAACAGAATCCCCACTGGCTGCAGGATCTGAGTCTAGTGGCAATTAGGGCTTTACTAATCCCACTTCTATTTGTTTCATTGTTCGTGGGGCTGGAGTGGGGTTGTCCGTTTCACTACCACTGAGGCTGATGAGGCCCCAGCCAAACCCAACTCCCAATTCTTCTGTTTTTTCTTCTTGGCTGACTTAGCTCTTCTCTGAAGTATTGTAATTCTCTTTCAATAGTTGTGATCATCTGCTACTAGATGCCTTTATTACCTCCAATATGAATGCCAGAATCTGGCACAAATGTTTAAATTGCTGCCATGCTGTACATCTATGCCTGTGCAGCCCCTGGGTTGCAGATCCAGCTACGACATTTGGCGTTGAAAGTTGTCACTTTGACTTATGCCTCATTTAAGATGTTGGGGGACAATGGGACATGCCTTTTGGGTTTTGCATTCTCCCTCTCCCATCTCCCTTCTTCTTTCACTTAATGAACATCTTCCACTTTCTTGCCAATCAACATGACTAACTTTGTGTATTGACCTCGGAGTGAGGCCCTGAAAGATGATTAAGCTGGGTCTCCAGACATTACAAAACTGTAGAGTTTCTGCTGTTTTATGGCTGTTTCTCAACATCTATATATGAGCAAAACATCAGAAGCAGTAGCCAAGGCTACCTGTGTAGTCTCTTAATTCTTTGGAGAAGAATTGATGGAAATGCTTTGCCTCAGGGAAACTGACCAATAGCCGTGGATTTAAGAAATATATACAGTACATATTTCTGTCTTTCTTCATGACCCTGCTAGCACAGATAATAAACAGTAACTTGTTGTGCGCAGGGGATAAGAATTGCCCCAGATAACAAAGGAACGATTTTCAGAAAAGCCAGTCCTTTTTTTCCTTGTTTTAACAGACAGATGTACACAGAAAGCTGAATTACTTAGATTTTGGTAGATGTGAAATGATTTCCAAAATACAGAAAGAAGAAGTAGAGTTATTCAGCTGTTCAGACCCACAGCAGAAACGTGCTTTGGAAGTGGCATTGGCATCATGATGGTCGTTTTGTGTTGGCACTTTCTTAAGGCGTGCCTGTTTCTCGGTGTGCACAAATAGCCATGCTCTCCCAGGAAAATACACATTTAAGCTAAGGATGGGGGGGAGCAGGGAACAGGGTAGGATAAACTTGTGACACTCTTATCAGTGCTTCCTTAATTCACAAACATATATGCCTGAAATCACATGGCTTTTGTGCGGGTCCAGGAAATATGTAGATTTTTTAAAGAAGGTGCCAGCAGGTGCCCTGAGCCTGCCCCCATCTCTTATGCACCTTTTGGGATTTGGATCCAAAGCTGGTTCAGGTTGTTCTTTCATGGAAACTGTTGAATTAACCTTCCTGACCTAATGAGAGTCTTCTCTCTCATCAGACCTTAATGACATTCACCAATCTTCAGTGGTAAACTTCCACAACCTGCAGCAGTATGACTGTATTGTCAGATTGTAGCCCACCTCTTAAAAGACACAGCTGCAATCTTACAGGGATGACTACTTTGTTTGGAATCAGCTTGGCTGCATCGGTTGATGTTATTGTGCTTTTTTCTTCCCCCCCCCCCCCCCCC